CGAAGATAAATATTAGAAATCACTTTCCAAGTTTTATCATCTCGAATGCTATTGATTAGAACAACAGTCTTTCAGTTTGCTTTATTCTTGGCCTGGAAGTGAGCCCCTTTTAAAGGGGTAAACATTCAGTTAAGTGTTTAGGCTTTAAGACTTTGAATAAGTTAATGTTTTTATAAAATGTGTTTTTAAACTCTTACGTGAGGCACACTGTCACGTCTACAAACCCAAATGGCTGTATATCCATAAACTTAGATTCTGAGCTGCGAAAAACTTCTGGAGTTTCTGTAACTCTTGAGAGGAATGGCAAGCTTCCGAAGAAAGGGACCGTAGTAAGAGATATTGCTCAAACACGTGATAATATAGTACAGCATTACTGAAGATTGATACTGCTTTTAGTGAGCGCAATAAATGTGTAAAACCAAATAAATAAGCAAACCATACCTCTAATATCACATTACTGTTAAGCTAAGAAACTTCTCTGTTAAAACTTGCCATTCTTCTAGCCCTCTCGCTTGTTCTGTATATACTGTACAGATCTTAATACCAATTGAAAATCTATTTAATAACAAACATTAATCTTAAAGTTTGGTATTTGCATAATTACTCTCCATTTTAAGTAGGGAACAGTGTTTTAATATGTATGCATTTCTTTGGTGTGTGAATTCTGGTGTGACGTTATTACAGAAATCCTTGTTTCATGAATCCTATACTAAAGCAGGAATTTATTTTGGAGTCAGTATTCAGGCTAATATTATTCTAATTTAGCTAAGACAGTTCAGATCAATTAAGAATAAAAACTTTGGAGACCTGGGAAGAAAGAGAACGCTTATTTTCCAGCATGCTCTTCTGCATTTTGTATGAACAACAAATCAGTTTTCTCTTTTTATTTTTATGAGGCTGTTGGTGTAAGGTTTGTGTTTTTGGTGGGGAGAGTTTGCACTTCAATATCTGTAATTATTGAGATGCATATTTTTTTTGTGAATATGCTTTAATCTACCCTGTATTCGAGTAGAGGGGGACGCCCTTGTGACAAATCTGGGCTTTGTCTCTCATCTTGTTATGTGGTATCTCCTGTCACAGTTCAAAATCTATTGTTACGACTAATTACCAACTCTTTGAAGACGCAGTAGAGCATTATTTATTATAAATATGAGGCAAACCATAGTTGTCTTTTGGGGCGCTCTGTCTTTCAACCTTGGACATCATTGAACAAGAACTCTTTTGAAGAAGACAGCCTGAAGTATTCTCTGTATCCAGAACAGTAGACCGCTTTGAATAGTGGAGATCGTTAATTTTTAGGAATCATACTCCAAGGCAAAGTTTTAAAAAAAAAATAAAAAAAATAAAAAAAAATTGGAGTTTCATCCTAGAAAGCTTTGGATTCTGAGTCAGGAATACATCCAAGTAAGTAAGTAAACTTTTAATGCCAAGCTAATAACTCACCTTTTAGTCTAGTCAGGTTTTTGTCATGCTTATTTCAGAAACTTTGAAGAATTCATTCTCTCTTTATTTAAAAAATAAAAATAAAAAAAACCCCACACATCTTAGATCTTTGGATGCAATTTGCCATTTGCAGTATGCCTGCACAGGAGTTTCTTGCACAATGGTAACAAGACTCCCTGTGTGGTATTTAGATAAGCCCTGTCCTCACAGGGAGGCCCTTTTCTTATGCATTCTCTGTTATCATCTTAACCTTTTATGTCTCTTAAAACTTTTGAAAAATAATGTTTGTAGAAACCTTTTGAGCCCTTACTCTCCTGCTGTTTTCTTCCCTCACCTTTTGAGGGAGAGCATCTTTTCCCGCGGCCTTTACATTTGTTATGTTTCCTTTTTAGGATAAGTGTTCTCTGAGCTCGTGTTGATTTGTAGTTTTAAGTCAAGAAATTGGTTTGCCTGGTTCCTCCCTCCATCCTGCCTTCAGAGGAGGGGGAAAACAAAAACCCACCACACTTGTTCCCCCTTCCTCATCAGATGTCTTTCCCTGCCCAAGTGAAGACATGCCTTTGCTTCCTCAGAAGATCCTTAAATGTCTTAAATAAGAGGGCATACTACTAAACTGTCAAGATGAAGCTGTGGTTGCTTATCCCGATACCGTGTAGCATAGCCTGAATGACACCTTCAGAAGTTTCCCTTTCTGATGATCATCTCTGTGCATTGTAAAGGTCCCCCTGTACGCTTACTGCAGAGAGTTGTCCAGCATGTGGTGGCTTTTAGCAAGGTGGTGGTAGTGTCCTGTCTCTGGCATCCTAACCCTTTCCCAGATAATGTGCTCGTGTTGGGAAAGGATGGGAAATAGTGTGAAGAATCACCAGCACTGTGTCTGCCCATGTTCAAAATAATTCCAAAGCAAAATTCTGTTAACCACAGTTGGAAAATGTTTGTTGTCTGGGTGCACTTTCATAGCTTACTCGGGTTCCAGAGCTGGTGAGGGAAGCAAGCAGTGTGTTTTTGGGATGCTGGGGTTGAGAGGAAGATTACTCTAGGGTTGCAGTTGCCCAGTTTTGCCCTATGTATATAGCAGACAAATAGGGAGGAGCCCAGAGCTTGTCTTCTCCGAGTATCACGAAAGCTGAAAAACAGCGACAGAAGTCTCTGGCTCAAGTGATGAACCTGTATACCTGTAGTGTGAAGGGACATGTGGCTAGTTCATCTTGAAGAACTTCTATTTACTGGCTAGTACCTTTTTTGGCAGCTGACAGGCTGCTAGTTGGGAGACTGAACTGATTCCAGCGTTCTTTAAGTATGTTTGTTGATTATTGTTAAGGTACTGGTATCTGCAAGAAAATAAATGTAATTTAACTTTAGTAGGAATAACTTGCTGGTGTGAGTTCTTTATGTAGTAAGCTAAAATTGTCCTTCTTGCAAACAGGTGTGCATCAGGAACTCTGCATTTGCAACCTTGATTTTAAAATAAAATACTTAATAATGAAATAGTCCATAAAAGCAGGATGAAAAAACATTTTGTTCTTTCCAGATTAAGTCATTTGTTATTATGCCTCATAATTATAATAAAAGAATAGAATGTTTTCAATCAGCAAGTTTATTTTTAATTTGAAAGCCCTTTTCAGTTTTTGGCAGAAGATTATTATATAGTCTTACTATTGCGTGGTACAAGGGAACAGAAAAGTTATGTTGAAGGCAAAAAGTATTTTGGACTACTCGTATTCCTGGCTTCGTGTTCTTATTAGTTGTTCACTCTTAAAACAAACTTTGGAGTTTGTCTAACCTACCTCATTTAAACTTTTAAGATACGGTATAACTTATGCTTTTGAGATGGATATTCGTGTTGATCAGCTGATTGTTAAACCACATTTTAAAGGCAGTTTTGGGATTAATTTTTAAGCTGACATTTAAATAGTTTCTGGATATTAATAAACTGCAGATATAAGTCATCTGCATCATAGCACGTGTGAGTATATTCGTGTTTCAGGGCCAAGAATGTTTGGGTTATGCAAAGGTAATACAGGATTTTCTGTTATAAAAAAAAACATTCAGACAAGCACATTTCTGGATGTATATTGTGTTATTTGAGAGTATATGGTTTGTTAGATTGGTCTGATTTAGTCTCACTTTATTCCAAGATTAGGTGAATCTAATAGCTTTTAAAAGTCTTGTTTAGAAGCAGCAGCAGCTGACTAAAGCTGAGCTCAGACTAAGTTTGAGGCCGTACAACTTGAAAAAAGGAAGTATGTAAAAGGCTTGTTACTTCTGTGATGCTCCTCACTGAGGAAGCTAGATTTCCAAAGAGCCATGGTGGCAAAATAGGTTATTTTCTCCCGCAAAAGAATAGAAAATTGTGTCCAGTGTGTTGGTAACAGAATTATATCAAATCAGTAGTAATTTCTAACATTCATGTTTGATTGCCAGAATTTATACCCCAACATAGATGTAGGGATCAAGGAGCTTCATCTCTTAAAAGATAAAGACTTCGTCTTGTTTGGCAAAACACATCCCTTCTCATCTTATTAGAGTATTTGTTTTCCTTATATCTGCTTTTCTTCAACTAGAGAATCATAGTTAAACTTTTTTCTGTAAAATCAGCTTCATCTGAGAAGCTATTCTGCTATGGCAATCGGTGGGAATTAGTTTGCAAGAGTCACAGAGCTGTCAGTATGTGCTGCAGAGTGACCAAGAAGGAGGAACAGCGATTTTCAAGGAGGCAGGAAAGCACCTCTGGAACTTGCATCTGAGGAAACGGAAAAAAGGCCTCTGGATTCAATGTTAAAAGGGTATTGTAATGTCGCAGTCAAATGGCACTAGTCTTTCTGGGCTACCTACGAACTCTTTGAGAGATGAACTCTTTCCTTTGGATTGTAGGCAGACGGGTATCCTAAATTCTGTGCTCAAACTAAGGCTCTGTGAGTATTTTTTGAAAGGAAAAACTCTGTTTCTTTTTCCTTTTTTTTTTTTGTCAGCTTTTTGAGTTCACCTTTGCTTGCTGTCCCAAAGCTACGCAGACATCCCAGAATAAAAATGTACTTGTTAATTCTGACTCCTTGAAAGTAAGATGCCTGTACTTATTTTTACCTGTTGCTGTCTAACTGAACAATTATTTAACTTTGATATTCATAGAGTTAAAACATGATTCAAATGTAGACTGAAGAATTTGGGGGATATTTCAACAGAATTGTGTAATGCTTAGACTAAGAGTCAGAGTTTTAAGAGAAACTTCAGGTAACTTCAGTTACTTCCCTGTAGTCTTGGAGAGCTGCCTATACGATGTTTCTAAATGTGAACTGACTTGCCCGTGGAACTAAAAGATTATGCCCATGAAAATAACTTAACATAATTTACTTTATATTTATAAAGTTCTGACTGCTTTATTCTCTTGTGCAGGATGGCTCTGTGTTGAGAGCTGTAACCCCTGAAATTAGCTGCTGAATAAAACTGGAATAAAAGAAAACAGAAAAAACAAGTACAGTTGTTACCATGCATGCAGCACAGGGTTTTAATGGAACAGAAGATTAGTTTTGAGCTTAACTTATGACTTTTTATTTCAGGGTCAGATCACGCTAATGGATGTCCCTGTGTTTAAAGCAATTCAGCCAGAGGTGAGTAGTTCATGGGTTTTGTTTTCAATTTTTAATGGAAAAAAGTTCAGAATTTCTTGCAGTGTCAGCTAGTGCACGAATTCTGGAATTGGAAAGTGTATGTATGTTCAGTAGACCTTTTTTCCCAGTTCTTATAGCTCTGAAGCAGATGGTTCCAGACAAAGATATCTGGAACTAATAGTATGCTTGGGGAAAGAACTGTTGGTATTTAAACAAGTTCAGCTAATGCTGGGGGTAAAGTATCTGTTTTTAATATTTTTGAATGTTAAATGACTTGACTGTACAGATCATAATGTTTCAGATTCCAGCTCCAGTTAGGTCCAAAGAAAAAACAAACTATTACCTAACTAATAAGCTGGATTGAAGTTAGTGTACCAGAATATGTATTTTTAATAGTCTGAGCTGATGGGTTTTTTGTGACCTTTTTCAAAGTATTTAACAAACCAGGTACCGTCCCAGCCTTGTAGTCATGAGACTAACTGTGCATCTCAGCCTATATTAAGGGTGTAATAGGAAGGAGAAGCTAAAATAAATATTGGCAGAGCTAAAAGCAAATAACCATCCCTCTCTGTATGTCTGCACACCCCTGTTTGTCCATTACATTGTCTTAATGGATACAGCAGCCTTTCTGCACTTTTCACCATTTGCTCTATCCAGAGTACATGCGCACGTCTGGCCCGAAGTTGCGTGCTAGAGATTCAGAAGTGCGGTCTCACCTCCACCGCAGAAACAGTGCACCTTAAAGGACTTTGTTTTCTGTCATTCTGTTTAACTTTGCAGTGTAATGAAGCTTGTTCAGTAATTGAATTGAATTAACACTTTTAACAGCTTGTACGTTGTCTGCCAGTGCTGTTTTTACCAAATGGCTGCATGTAACTCTTCTCAATTTCACCTAGGTTTTCAGTTGTGACTCTATGGCTACTGAGCAGCTGAATTTAGATTTTTGTAAATGGGAATTATGGAGTTTGTCACACTTCATTTTAATAGAGACCATAGCTGTATGTATAGTCTTGTTTCTTACAGATGTTAAATAGTGCTTCTGCTGTATCACCAGTCTTCATGCTTCAGAGTTGTAATGCTTTTATATTGCTGTGTATAGCCTCACTGAGGAGAGGTATTGTTTGTAACCGGTTGTTTCAGCTGGTCTTTGAACCAGTGTGCAAATGGCTTGTTTTTCTCTTTCTTGGAAAAACCGCTTAGCTTCTGAACCTCACATGTGCATAAACACATAGGCATTGGCACTTTCTTCATGAAGTTTTTCAGAGTACCTACTTGGCCTTGATTCTGATAGGGGAATTCAACATTCATAAAATGCATGAAACTTTTAGCCTTGAAACTTCAAATACATACCTTTGGAATAAAATGTATCTTTTATCTCAGATAAAGTCAATGAACATGAGACTGGTCCTGCAGAATCATGTCAGCAGTCCCATTAGCCTTTCTCCAAGTGGCCGGTAGGAGATGCTTAGTGAGATGGTATGAGAAACAGTGTATGTACATATTTGTATATCCTGCTAGCAATCAAAAGCTAGAGGCTTTCGGAGTTGAAAGCTGCATCTGCATGCAGCTTAAGATGCATTAAGATGCAGCTTAATAGCCCAGGGTGGGCATTTCTTCCGTGAATTTGGCTAATCCACTTTGAACTTGATTATACTCATGATAATAAATTGGAAGTAAATTATACTTCACAGTTTACTGAGACAATGGCTTCCACAACTGAAATGTGTAATATGAAAATGCTTCCCTTATTTGTGTTTAAAGCTTATCATATATATAATCTGTGCTGCTCTGAGCAATAGCTAATTATTTTATATTTACCTTTTCTGTGCATTCAGGATTTTATTATGTTGTATCTCTTTCTGGACCTTGTTTTGAAAAATAAATTATATTCTGCTTCCCCTCATAAGGGAGGGGGGAACTAGTGCCTTTGCTCATCCTTTCCTAGGTTTCTCTGACTGGTCCGTATCTTTTTTTGGAAAAAGAAAAGTGATCAGAACTGCATCTTGTACTTGAGATGCATGTAACTTATGGATATATTAGGATAATATATGGATATTTTGTGGTCTCCATTTTGTTTTTAAATAACTGCATATTGCTTTCTGATTGTAGCCTGGCCTGAACTGATGTTTTCAGAGTCTACACAATGACTGTAATTACATATTTGTTTATCCTTATTTCGGTATAATTAGCATTCTTCTGTGGGCATTGTTTTGCACTACTCAAGGTTCAATTTTTGTATTGCCCATTTATTCAGTAGTGTAGAAGTCCTTTCAGCTTATCAGTCAGATTTTGACCATCGAACTATTTTATTGGTAGCAAGCTTTTCTCGTGTCACTTTTTTCTCTTGTGGACTGCCGAAGAATGTTCTGCCTCCAGCAGAGAACTGCTGAAGAAATGCCTTGATTGTGATTACTGACTATTTGGTCATTTGTCTACGCAGAAATGTTTGAAGGCTTTCTTTTAGTGTGTATTTGAAAATGACTTTGTGATTTGGCTTTGGTATCTTCAGCAAGCAGTTTCCCATCCTGTTTGTCTTTTTTATTTGGTCATTTGTTTTAGTCCCTCAAAGAGCCTTCTGTTTGACCTCTCTGGCTTTTTTAGGCTTCCTTAGCTTTTTTGGTTTGCAGAACGTTTACCCTGCTCTTCTAATGAGACACCTTTTTAAAAGTTGCCCTTTTCAAAAACTTTCAAGTCTGTCTTTTTTCCTACCTTTTGGTGATCCTTTTAAATACTTTCCTCATACCTGCGTACTTTTCTTTCTAATACTAAACGTTACTACTGTGTAGGGTGTTTTTTCTTCCTGCTTGAATCATGAAGTTGAATAGGTATTTGTATGCTTTTACAGAATGCCTCTTCTGTCTTTGAAGCTATCCAACTTAAAGGGATGGGATACCAAAAAATCAAAACACCAATTTTACTCGTAAAGACTCTTCCTGATGATCTGATACAGAAATCATGGCTTAACTGATATATGCCCAGATAGATCTCTTCCTCCTCCCCACTGCACTGTTTGAGCTTGGTGGTAGTTTATTCTTCCTGATCTGCTTCCAACACTGCACAGAACGAGCTAGGCAACAGCCACAACAAGGAAGCAAGTGAATTAGATATATTGGCAGTGATCCAGTACTCAATACCTCAGAATTTGCTGCTCTTTTAATGCCTCCTCCTGTACTACAGATTGTTGTATGAGCAGTCCTACAGCAAGTCACTGGGAGAAAAGAAGAAATGTCAAGGAAGTGCACTTAATCTTGTAGGCTGTTCCAACTCATTAATTGTAAAGCATGAAGGAGAAGAGCGGAATAAATTAATGAAATTTATTTCTGAAAGAAAACCTAGAAATTAAGATGGGAAAACAAGACAGTATAGCTGTAATGTTGTTCCTTTAAACGTGTCCTGTGCCAGAAAAATCTCCATCATGTCTACCCTTTTGAGAAATACTCACTGAAAAATAACCTTGGATTACAAGGAAGAATAGCTGTTTTGTCACTTCTCACATGTTTGCACACAGGCAGTTGAAGGCATTGACATCGTGGAAGTATTATCTATCCATCAGTGCTGCAACATGGGTATGCAGAGGTGTGTGGTCTTGTATCTGACCTGCCTCTGAGCTATGTCGGTCCTGTATGGAGAAGGGGGCATGCAGATTGCTTTTCAGGTCAAGAGCAGCAAGGCACAGTTAAAAGGCTTTTCTCCTCTCGTCAGAAGAGAAGAGCAGACATGGAGCTCACTCTGTCTGCCCAAAGGTGTGTTGGCAGCAGATTAATGAAGTGTGTTAGGTCTCTGAATTTCTTTGAAGCATCAGTCAGGCTATGTATGCTATAACCATGTCTTGATTCAAGATGCAAGTCCTTAACATACCTTTAGGTGTGTACTCAAACACTGTTAAGTATGTAATTAAAAAACAAAACACTGAGCCTATTTCCCCCATATAAAAGCACTTCTAAATTGAGGCTTTAACGACTGCGTGAAACGCGTTGAGATTGCTTTTTTCACATCAATACTCAATAGATACTCTATTTAGAAATAGCCCTTTTCTGTGTGTGTGGTGGGAGGGATATAAAAGGCATTTTTTCTGGCATGTGAATATTTTAAAACCTGCTGCTCATTATAGATGGTTGTAGTTGACCAACAGATCTTTGTTAGACAGGCCATGAATTTCCACCTCCTTCCTAAACTCTAAAGCAATATTTTAATGAATATTTTTACCATTTTAATATCTGTTAATTTGTGTTCTCAGAAGTTCTGAAAGATCTGTTCCAAGATGCTTAATTTTTACTGCAACTAGAGCTGAATTTTCACCTTCTTTAGGAAGTGTGCAAGAAGTACTGTCTAAGCATCATAGCTATTCTTGGCCATCTAAATTAATGTGTTGAATCTTCATTGTATTAAAAACTTCTCATAAAGTATGAAAGGCTTGTTTTCTAAAAAGTGACATGTGAATTTTATTTCTACTTGGTGTCATTCAGCTCTGGATTTTGTCATAACTGTTTTTTTTTTTTTACAGTAGTATATAGTAATTTTTCTTTTGGCATCAAAATCAATGAGCAAACTCATGGCACATATTTAAATGTTTCTTGATCCTTTTGCCTACATGTATAGCAAATAAATACAGCCTGGAGCTAACTCTGCTTGCCTATATTCAAATGTACAATGGTCCTGTTGTCCGGTGACCCGTAGGAAAGTTGTTTAAGGTGTGGTAACGTTTGAGGGCTGGTTTGTGTCAACTGTCCTTTGGAAACGGATACATTCTGGCTTTTAATGCTTGACAGAATAAATTAGTGAAGGGTTGAGTTAAAAGGATGCGTGCTTAAAAGTTACCTGGTTCTCATGAGCTCAGACTAATATGTTGAAAAAATTGGAGTGACTTTTCTTCTGGATGCATAGTTGTAGGCAAAAATGCAAAGCTTGCATTCAGGGTACCTAATTTTGATCCTGTTTCAGCGTTACACAGACTTTTTCCGAGCAGTATGAATTGTAAACAATCTCCAGTTGGATTTGTGCACTCGAAACAGTGGTATATAGTTCTGTGGGCTGACTGAGATTCAGGAGCCTCACAGTAAGTCAGTTTCCACTGAGACTTTATGAAAGCAAATTTTTGGAGCGAATGCTATAAACAGAATCAAAGTCCTCCACTCATTGTGATTCTTTGCTGCTGATGGCTAGCTGATAGTGTTAGAACCTTTTCTCGTGGGCCAATGTCTTGGTTTGGTTTTCTCTTCTGATACTATACTTCCCCCCCCCCCATCCCTTCTTCAGAAGGTTTTAGATAACCATGTCACTTGGTGTCTACCTACATTCCACAAGTAAATCGCATGACTAATTGCAGGGAATTGCTGAGACTTTTTTTCATCTATAGCAAAAGAATCTGGAGCAGCAGATATGGTGTATGCTGTTCTCATTTTTAGAGTTGGAAAGAGAATTGGTGTTCCTCTTTTCTTGTGAAAGACTATCTTTCAGTTGTTATCAAGTCAATTATTTTCAAGTAGCTGCTATAATTGTATTACAAATTAAAAATAACTGCATCATTTGATTTTGTTGAAACAATGTAATGGATAGTGTGTGTGTGTGTATATATATACATATAGTTTGTATTGTGACCAGTAGGATTGCTGCTGCCTCAGGTAGTACAAAAAAATCCAAACTATGAAATTATCTTGTCACACGAAATTCCATGTAGTCATTACCTCTGCTCTTGAACAAGCTGTATCCCTCTATTTTGTAAACTTCTTGTCGCTTCCCTCGCAACAATTAAAGGGGAGTAATGAAATAGTCCTATGTGCCCCCGCAAAGGTTTTTCTATTGATTTGAAGAAACATCACAAAGTAAGACTTTCATTCAATTCTTGACAGTCCTTTCTTGAAGCTCTCTTTCCACAGAGCTAATGTTAGACTGGAGACCGATTCTTTGGAGACAAAAGAGCTTTTTCCCTCAAACATGTGGAAAGTTACTACCTCCTCCATAAGGAGATCAATCTTGATATTGTGATATCTTTGTGACAGCAATAACTTTTTTCCTTTATAAAACAGAAATTAGTTATCTGTTTCAGAAAGTGCCTTTCGGGCTCTTGTCCAGTCCCTGTTTGTTGGAAGCTCATGATATTGTGCTGGTAGTCAGTTGCCTCGTTTCACTGTTAGATGCTTTTTTGCTAAGCTGCCCAATCTCTGAGACATGGTACGTTGTTTGAGGAATTTATTTCCCGTCTTGAAGCTCTGGAAAGAACTTTCAGATGCATCTAGATGTCATTGCTTAAAGACAAATTGGGCAAAATCAGGCCTATCAGGTTGCAACTGGTTGGCAGTTCTGTCCCCTGCTCTTAGTTACGTAGACAAGCGCAGGCGATAGCAAACCCAGAATACAGATTGTTGTTGGCAGTCCTTCACAGTGATAACCTATGCTTTCTATGGAAATCTTGTCTGCTTAAGGATGAACCTTGAGGAGTCTGCGTTATGATTGTTAGTAATAGCTTTTTTGATGAGCAGTAAACTTACTGCACTGTGTTAGGTAGCTGGTTGAGAATTATTTTCAATATATGAGGAACCTATTCATCAGCCTCCCTACAGGGGGATTCTCTGAGAACTGCAGCTTGTTTTGGGGAAGTGGGAACAAACTATTCTGATTAAGAAAGCAAATAGCAGATCAAAAGACTTTTCTCTCTGATACACTACATGTGTATCATGACAGCAGCAGCAATCAAGTTGACTGGCAGTTTGAATACAGGAAAAAGGAGACAAGGCTAATGTCTGCTTTATCATATTGCAAGGAAGTCTTTAATTATGAAAGAACAGTCTTTGCAACACAGTTGAAAAAAGGGTGATAATAAAATTCTGCTATTAGTTTTTTCTTTTTTCCATCAGTAGCAGTTGCTATCCTGTTTGACTCTTCCTGAGCTTGCAGAGCCATGCCTTTTCCTTAATACCAATTGCTGCCCCACAGGTCGACTTGTATTAATATCCTGGGTTCAGACACGTGCTTGAGTTCCTACACATCAGCCGCTACAACTTTCTATTTCATGCTCCTAGCAAAAGAGAAACAGAGCTCAGCATAGCTCCCATAACTCCGGATTGTGGTATAGTGGATCATTTTATGTTTAGGGTGGGCCAGGAGCGAGCACCAGGACACTTACCATGGCTTCGTGATATATAGTGACGTGATTCTGTGTCTGAGCTTTAAGCAGAACTTATAATTTGAAGTGATAGTGGAAGCTACCTTTCTTTGTCATTTAAAAAAAAAAAAAAACGCCTGCAAGTTACTTCTGAGAAAGGAAAGTGGAAGGAATTACTATTTGTTTTCTTATTAATAATTATTCTGAGTGGGCTCCAATAGAGGAAATCAGGCTAATACAAGAACACTCATCCGCTATGAAAAATTCCATCTGTATGAAAGCAACCTACTTGCATTTTCCTTGTTTGGGAAACAAAAAAGGAATTTCCCAAGTCAATTATGATTTCCATCCATTTCCCATGAATGAACTATATTTAATTTTTTCTTTTAGTGGTTATGGTTTTCTAGATAGCAGTGATGGTGAAGCAAAAATGTAGTAATGGGTTTGCTCAGTTGTATTGCCTCTAGTTACGTTAATATTATGTTAATAGATAGAATTTTTTCCTGAAGTAAAATGATCAGGTAGTTCATGAATAGAAAATCCGAGCGTGGGAAACGGGTAATAATGGAAGGAATGCTGAAGAAACTAAGGACAAGCAGCAGAGGGAAACTAGTTCCATTTTTGGGACCATTGAATGGAAAGGCAAGCTGGCTATGCAGAGGAGAGACGTCCCACAAGTAAAGCGGAGAAGCTATGTGAAGGAGGTGGAAGAGTGTTCAGGAACAGAGAGGAAATTAAAGCAAGAAGATACATGTAGCCATTTGTTTTGTCCTCTTGCTACCTGTTTCTTAGACTAATGAAAGAAAAAAAGGCTGTTGGAACTCAAAAGCCTGTGCCTCTGTTGCAGCTACTTTGTCCCTGAGCAGTGGTGTCGATGTTGGCTTAAGCTGTTGAAGAACCCGAAGTTCTCTCTACTGCACCCCTGTATTCTCAAATTAGCTTAACCCTAAAGCTGTTACTACTCAGTCTTGCTACTTTATCTCCTCTCCAGTTGACAGTTTCAGCTCATGTCTCCTACTTCCTCTCCTCTTAGATTTGAGCAAGAAAAAGACAAACTCCACCTATAACTCGCCCACCTCATTGTATACCTCAGACCTGTGTGTGTTTCCTATCACATTCTCCACAAATCTAATCCACCTCTAACTTTGATTATATAAATATAAATTTGTCCTTCACCCTAATCCTGTTACTGATGTAAAGCTAAAGGTCCTTGATAATATTTTCTACTTAAACTACTACTTGTGTAGCTAATTGTCTGTGCCAGTGGCCCCAGTGCCACCTAAACAAGGTCTGTTTCTGCCATCTGTACCACGTAAGCCCTTAGATGTACAGTGTCAGGTCGGTGGATGACTTCTGCCCTGAGTGGTCATAGCTATTTTTCCTCGATGATGATAATTGAATTAATACAAGGCCTTAAATGCAAAGTTGGCGACTCTGCGTTCTTTCCAGCGCCTGTGAGCAGGAGTGTCCTAGAGTCTTCTCTAGCAAACGTCAGTGTGCCACAGATTTCGACAAGTGGAAGACTGAAAGGTTGAAAAGAAGTTCCTAATTAAAATAAAAGCTCCTTTAGAGCTCTTTGGGATAACATACTGTTCTGAGGTTAGAGCTTAGAATATCCAGAATCCAAATTCTTCTTTTAAAATACAACTATCTTAAATGGCGCAATTACTAGTCACATGTGAATCTGCACATCTACATTATTTATTGGTTGGATGTAGTGTAATACTGATTTTGATAAGGGATTATCAATGTAATGAAACAGCTTCAGAGTGGAAGATGTGAAAATGAAGCATGAATAAATAAAAATGAAAGGCTGGAATTTGCTATTATGCCACTTTAATAATTAAGCTGTCTCTGTATCGGATATTTTTCATGATGGTTTCAGTCAGCCCTGCAGAATAGGCTGTATGTGCTGCATGCTATGTATATTTGCATCTATTCTGTATACTATTGTGTATGAATAGAAGAGCTTATTAGTCTATTTACTTTTAAAAATTGGAATTAGTTAAAATTAGTTTAAAATTCCAGTTTTACTTAAGACCGCTTCACTGAAATTAGGTGGTAGAAAATAGCAGTGAGGGCGACAGCATTCCCGAACTGCTGACTCTTACAGAGAAGTAAGACATTATAACTTAGTAGTTACAAAATAATGCTTTTTTTAGGCTTTACAAATAACTTGTTATGTCAGTCAGTCAGGCCTGCATTTTTTTAGGGTGACTAAGTACAGGAACTACGTGAGTTTTCTTAACATGTCCCCTGGCCCCATTTTACTCAACAAAGCTAGCTGCTTTGGTGCTGACTGTTCAGCTTAATAAAACAAAACTAGCCTATTTGGAAAACTGGAAATAGTGTCCTCTCTTTTATTGCTGCAGCAAAAGATGAAAATTCTGGTTTTCCTTTAATGCAGCACACTAAGCTAAAATAATAAGACATGTCTAGATGAAGCTAACGAGGTACATCAAGTTGGTAGAATTTAAAATAGAAGTCTTAAGTATTTTAAAACCAAAAGACGTGATGCTTTTCCTCACTCAAATTTAAGTTTAAAGCAGCATTTTCTGTGGTAATGAAATAGATTTTTGTATTTTACTTGTTTTTAATAAGTACTCAGTTAAGAAAGAGTCCTTAATTCAATAGAAGATGAGTTGTGAACTCTTACTATTTAAAGCAATTCAGGAATAATAATTGTGACATCTCAAAACTTTCAAAAGAAATTGGGAAAAGTGTAATTGTATATATTTCTTACTTCAGTGCATCATTGCTCTGTTAGATATGGAAAGTGAAAACTTTAAATATTTTGAAGCTTAAATGATTTGTCTGTCCTTGGCTCTGAATTTACATTATTTGCTAATTCAAAAAAATGAATTCTCGTCTTTGTTCTTCTAGGAACTGGCGAGCTGTGGGTGGAACAAAAAAGAGAAATACAGTTCTGCACCAAATGCAGTTGCTTTCACCAGAAGATTCAATCATGTGAGTTATTTTTCTTCAGTGTCATTACATGTATATGTTTAAAAATCTGGTGAATGGAATGCTCTGGCACATCACTTTTATTGTTATTCACAGCTAATTACTTAAACTTAATGTTTACTTAAAGGAGTTCCTTATCTGCTGGAAACACAGAAAGACTGGTCCTGAGGTAATAGCTTTGTTTTTGTTGCTGCTTGTTTCATTTGGGCTTTTTTAATAAGTTACTGACCAATAATATAAGGAAAATATTAAGTGGTTTTTTCCCACAGATGTTTTCTGTCCTTTTCGTAAAGATTGAATCATCATTCCGGGTTAAAGGCTTAATGTATGGAAGGACGTTTGGAGTAATAATTGAATATAATTGCTTTGTGTAATACAGCTGAGTGTTGGTTTCCTGTAGAAGTTTTTGTCCTTAGAAACATGAACCTTTTGTTGGTATGGATCATCTTTTTGTAAGGTGACTCTGGGCAAACTTAAATTCTAAAGAATTTGATTCTACAGAACTTGTCTTTAGATTTCCTATTTGACATAATTGTTCAGGTGGAATATGTTCATTCGTGATATGTGAAAGTGGCTTTTTTCTTAAAGCTTTCTTTATAGAAAACGAGCTTGTATGAGTAGAATTTTAGCACGCTCCACGGTTAAAGGAATAAGTATGTAGTTAGCCAACAGTCTCAAGAATATAATGCCTTTTAATGCCGTACTCTATATTTCAGAGGAAGTACATCTCTCCTTTTGTAAATGTTTAATGTCTCAAACTTACAAGCTCTATTCCAACCTACTTTCTGTGCCCAGTCTTGCCTTTTAGACATCTTTGTTAACGCTCTTAAACTTGAGCCAAGCCAAGCTTTTAACTTTCTCAGCTTTTTCTATCACTATTTAAAAAAAAAAAGGGCATCTCACTTTTGTGTACTTCGCTTTACCATTATTCCGTGTATACAGGATATGACCAAATCCAGTAGTTTCTCGTATATAACACTTACTATATTTCTTAACCATCTAATGTTTGGAGTGCTTGTCTATGAATGTTTTGGACTCTTGCCTGGTTTGCCTCTTGGCCAAAGGAAGAAATGTTACGCCTCAAACTTCATCTGAGCATAACATCATCTGTTGAAATCTGTTTTTCCGTTATACGTAGTTGAAATTTTCCTGATCTGGCTTTTGAAGTTGCTTGTCTATTGGACTGTATATCCAACCCAAGGCTACTCTCGCACTGCTCCTAATCTCACTGCTGTTCCAGTGATTCCAACCTTTGTCTTGTTTAGTCACATAACTTGTCTCGTCAAAGAATGATTTTTGTTTTGCTGGTGGGTTAGTGGGCAGTGGATTCTGAAATATTTTTGTAGTAAGGCCCATGTACTAGTAGTGTAGCGCTCTCATCAGCTACCTCAATTCTCATTTGTTGTTGTATAATAGCAGCTGCAGGAACTGGCTAAACAGAAATTTGACTTCAGACATATTAAACTAGAGAACTGGTAAAAGATACTTGCAAACTGTCTGCAAACTGACCATTTGTCATTGCAGAACTACAGTTAAGAAATATCTAACCTGTAAAGTATGTCAAGGTTGGAGTGAGGAAAGGCCTGCCTTGTGCTGGCCAGGACCAGCCAGAGGTACACAGTTTAATTGTTAACAGTATTAACGATCTTTAACATCTTTAAGATGTTAAATCTATTACTAAATAATGTTTAGAAAACTGTTAAATACAGTATTCTTAAACTAATATATAGAAATTCTACATCTGCTAGCAAAATCCTATTTTAATCCTGTCTTATATCCCCCATTCTTATGCATCTTTATGATTTCTTGTGGTTGTGACTAAATGACATTTTAGAGTTTTATATTTTTGCTTTCTGTAGGCTGTATTTCACTTGTCTCTGAAATATCTATCAGATTTGATCACTCCATGTAAGACAGAACAAAAATAAAAATATTGCTCAAATTAATTTGTGTAAAAAAAAAAAAAAAAAAAATCCATACAAGAAGGCTGTATGCATACAGTAAGGGTAATGAAGAGAATAAAATGCTAGAAATACCTCCCTTTTTGTAGTATATTTCCTTGTAATAGCCAGTAGTCCCACTTCCCTAGAAGGCATTACTGTTTGATAAAGGCTGCCTTTATGTATCTTCATTATCCCAGAACGCATGTTAGATTATTGTCAACTATGACTGGCTCTTTCGTCTGCCTTAATTTCATTTTTCAACTGTGCGTCACTTGTATCAAGAAACTATTACTTTTGATTATAAGACAAGTCATATTCAAAGGAAATTATAAATCTAGGTGACTTTAGAGGTCTGTAGTGTTCCATGAGCTTGTTCGCTTTCAAATGGACTGAAAGATGTGTTACTTTGCTTTGTTTTTTGTTTTGTTTTTTTTTAATTTTTTCTTCAGTATAGTAAAGGAGAGCCTTAAATGAAATGCAGTACTAACCGACTTTGAGCCGTCGTGCAGTTTCTTATACTGTCCCTTTTCCCCTGCTTTGGCTGTTTGTTTCTGAAGGCCTCACTAGCAATGATGCAGTTAGAGGACTGAGGTTTATTTTTAAACAGTCCCTTTCCCCAACTGATTTGTAGGGAAACATCAGAAGAGCAGTAAACATACAAACAGAATATATTAGCTTTAAGATTAACAGACTGCCTAGGGTTCTCTTTGAATGCCCTCATATAAGCATTTCGTAGTGGGATGCAAGCAAACGTAGCTGGAGATTTTCTTGTCATAGCAGCTTCAGGTTTGTAGTTAAGCCTCACTGTGTGTGCAGCCATAAAAGGTGGGTGCGCCCCTCTCTCAGCTTCATTGAGAATATCTTTGCTAATGATTTCTTATGATCCTGCTTAACATCTTGAAGGTTTTGTGTTCCCTGCTGTCCTTAAGCTCCAGCTAAGACTTAACCATCTGATAGTCTATCACTGCCTTTCATTCCCCTAGTGAGTTTCAGATACTGTGTTGACTGCTATGGAACATTCCCTTAGTCAGATGGCCGTTATTGCTGTTCTTTAACATCTACAAGAAGGTAGATTGACAGTAATTTGGATTGTCCTTAGGTCACCCCTGAAACAAGAACACCAGCAGAATTGGAGAGCACTTCTTTGCTGTGTCAGTGGGCTTTGCGGAGTCACCGGTATAAGCAAAACAGGCCAGTTTGAGCCTCCTATTCCGGTAGTGGCCTCCCAGGAAGTGGAAAAGGTCCTTTTTGACAGAGTGTGCTTTGAGACTTTGTCAATTCTCCCATTAAATCGACTGGAACAAGACAAGTAGCTTCTCTTTCACTTTCTCACGTAGTCTGCACCATCACATTCAGCTGCTGTGGTGCTTAGGCTGTCTCTTGGACGGTATTTGGACCTAGAAGATTAGGAGGGATTTCTAGGCCTTCCTTCCTATTTCATTTTTCTCATTCATTTCTGCTCTCTTTAACATGTCAATTAAAGAGGTTAGTATGAGCTGTAGCACGGACTGTGTCACAAAGAGGCAATTCTTGATAAAGGGGGAAACACGCCCAACTCTTTAAGTTCTGCTCAAATGTTGGGTTGGTTTGCCTCTAATCGTTTTCTGGGTAATTACTTCATGCAGCTTTGGCTGAGGGTTGCATCATTTGCAAGGAGTACCTCTAAGAAACTTATATCGATCTTTATTTTAGCACCAAGGAAGGTCATCAGTCTTGCCTGGCGAGGAGGAGAGAGGGAAAAGGGAGAAGCATTATTTCAGTTGCAGGTTCCTATTTTATTCATGTTAATACCTCAACTTTTGACTTACTGAAACAGTGCCTTGAGTAACTTTTGACATCCCCAGTGGGCCTGTGGTTCAAAATGTCATTGCAGAGGAGTTGTGTATTCTAATAGTATAGTTCTCTTCAGATTTGCCATCGTTTCAGAAGCAATGGAAGTCAAGAATTTAAATGGGGTTGGCAGTAGCAGCTGGGAGTGAGAAATGTGGTGTAGTGGGCAGTTCCTGTCTTCTTTCTCTCTAGGCCTAGTCTGCCTTCTCCAAGCTCAGGTCTACGCCGGATGCTCATTCAATAGAATCTGGTTCCTATCAGGCACTACCCTACTCACCTGAGAAGCGCTAACTTATAGGCTTAAAATAAGTGATCAGTAAAAATCACTGTGGCTTTTGGCTTTCTGGCATGAATACAATTCATTAAACTCTAACCTTTGAAATTTCACTGAGTTTAAATTATGCATTATGCATCTGTCTCTTTCCTTCTTCCCCCAACTTGCCACAAGAAATCCATGTATATTTTAAGTGAAGAGAGTATTAAATCACTAACAGCTGCTTCACAGAAAATCCATCTGCTGATAGCATTTTGGAAACAGTAATAATTGTGTGGTAGATTGCAGTCCGCTGAGAACGAAGTAGTGTATTTCCAGCATTAATTATCTGAGAATTATATATGGTGCCTGTAAAAACAGATTAAGTTTGGGAAGAGGAGAAATCGTTGAATCATTCCATGCCAGAATTCTTTAAATCTTGAAGTATAAGTATTAAGTATTGTATTTAAATATATAACCTTTCTGCATAACTGTCAAAACTTTGATCTCTGCTTTTTGCAGTTTTTCTTCTGAAAAATAGTTTAGTACTATTGTAACTGATAGGTCTGGTGGATAATCGTCACGTTTGCCTACTTACCGAACCACTGTTCTCTACCTTTTAGAAAGATTATATAGCATTAATTTCAAGCAAAGAAAGAAGGCATATCCTTTTCTGAAATGTATTAGACATTGATATGAGAATATTTCCATAATTTATGTGAAGTTAACTTTCACCATTTTGATTGTAAGATTATCTGTATTAAAAACCTCTTTCCTGAGGGTGGTTTTTTTGTTTTTTTTTAACTCTAAATGGGAGTGGGAACCATGCTGCTACAGAGCTAAAAATATTAGTGAAACTTAATGTTTGTTAGATTAATTAGGCTTGACACATTGGAGCCATGTTAAAGCAAAAGATCCCACGTAAAATTTTTTTGATGCATTTTGCTAACTGTAAAACTATGCCTTTTAAAGTATATATAAGTAGTATATAACAAGGGGAAAACTTTGTGTGGTCTTGAATACTATAGTGTTGCCGAGGTGCAGTGAAGGGTGACAGTGGACTTTTACTAGGACTGTCAGAAACTAAAAAATATGGGGGGTGAGGTTAGCATCCTCCCATTCAAAAGAAAGCAGTAAAAATGACAGGGATTCTACCCAGGTTGCAGTGATGCCAGTTCAGTTCTGTCCCTCTCATGTTGAGTGCTGTCTTTTTTGCATAGCATATCAGATGTTTTTAATATATTTGGCAGAAAGATCCAGAAACTTTATTAAAAAGAAAGTATCTTGAATTTACCTGGCTACTGATTAAAAAAGAAAGGCTAATTAGTTTTTGAATCAGTGACTATGAACTACTAAATATTTTCATTGTGCCGGTGCTTTTGTTTCAGATAAGGCAAACATGGGATAACTTAAAAGTTTAACCTGTGATTCAAGGGAAGATGTATGAAAAATTAAGCATGTTTTTTATATGTTGACCTTATTAGGGAGGAATGTAGATAGCAGTTCAAGAAAGCATTTAAACTTGTATGTGTATGTAAGGCATTGATACCCAAAGACTGTGGGTCTGCTAACTGAAATGAGTAGGGGAGAGTGAGAAATAATAACATTTAAATACAGTGAGAGGAGACTTAACAAAATGACTCTCTGTATGGAACAAATATCCAGTGATTCATGTCAAGTAAGAATCTGGATCAAATAGAGTGGTTTTATACAGCTCATTGAAACAGTAGGTTTTATTTAAATTGTTTTTTTTAATATTTGGAAGAAATTAGGTAAAGGTAATTTTTACAGATACCAGTGAATGGATAAGACCAGCCAAAAAAAAGTCAGTGCAGTAAAAATACCTTCAAGAGGAGCAGAAGCAGTTGATTTGGAAGGGGAGAAGCTTGCTCTCATTCTGGCTCCTGTGTCCCTGCATTGCTGGAGGGACAGGAGGGCTCTAAGCTGCGAAGGATGTTTTGTTTTTTTTCCTGTAAGAGCTTGGACGTGTTGAGTTTTGGTCTTGTAAGACTAGGACGCAAACCAGGCTTTGCTGAATAAACGAGAGTCCTTGGTGTGGTACCATGCTTTTGTCACGGTGACACTAATGAACTTTCACAAAAGTCCAGGCCACCAGGGTAAACTTTTTTTTTCATTCTTATGAAAATGATTAAGCATCATTCCATGTTTTAGGCAACTGTTTCATCATCTGGCCTACTGCAGGCAGTTTCTGTCCTCATAGAAGTTCTCTTAACTTTACTAAAAATTTTGGGCTTGTAAGGCACAACAAAATGTGCCTTATCTCTGCCTGATTCTTTATGATATGTAAAACTATAGTAAAGTTATACATTTCTTTGATCTTCAGAGGGTAAGTAATCTCCTCAGAAATCCCTTTCATCAGTCGAGGGGCAAGTTGGTTTTCCCAAGCTGTATAACTGCAACAGGACATCAAATTGAGGTTTAGATTTTTTTGACAATACTTTGAAGAGTTGTCAAATACTTCAGTATTTATGTATGCAATACTCTAGATGTTTTATAGGAATGCTGTCTGTACAGAACCATAATTGGTATTTGTCAGAGTAACAGTTTATCTGGAGCTACTTTGGTTTTTTTTTCGTTTGTTTGTTTTAAACGAAAAGGGAGGAAACTGAGTTCTGTGTCTAATTCTTCCCTGCAACCTTAGACCAACAGAAAGCAGATGCTATGTAAGATGTTCTGGTTCTGGTTTTTTGTTGTTCTGGTTTTCCATTGACTTCAGTAAGGAATGAATTAAAAAAAAAAAACCACCATTTTATACTAAGAACACTTTATAGCATGCTGGAACATACATGCCTGACTTCTTAACGACTTTCAAAGAGCTATCATGTTTTGATACCTCATTTCTCATCAAGTCACTCTTAAGTTCAGTGAGAATGCATGTTTTTTGGAGGCCTGGATCCTGGGGGTGCTATTCTGTGTAAACGTATGTTGAACTGTCATACTGCTCAGTGTAGAACAAGATGTATTTTATTGTTGTAATTGAAATTAGGAGCAAGAACCTGAATAGAACTGTAGCTTAAAAAAAGTTTAGTACTATTAAAAATCACAGCAGCATGACAGATTAAAAGTTGTTTCCATAGGAGAGA